CGCGGCGCGACGCCGGCGTCGCCGGCGTCTACCTCTCCGGCGAGGAGCAGTGCGCGCTGAGCGAGTGCTTCGGCGCCGGCGCGCTCCACAGCACGCACGGCGTGCACCCGAGCGCGCCCTGCCGCGACGTCTTCCGCCTCTCCAACGACCCGGACCACGGCTTCAACTCCGTCGGCACCGAGTGGCACAACGACGGCTCGTTCTGCCGCGACGTCTTCTCGCACGTCGTCTACCACATCGTCAAAGCCCCCGACGGCCGCGGCGACACGCGCTTCGCCCACCTCGGCGACGCCCATGACGCTCTGCCAAAGGCCGTGCAACAGCGCCTCGCGCGCTGCGCGTCCGTGAACTCGAACGGCGGCGCCGCGCGCCCCCGGGGCGGGAAAAGCGTGATTCAAGTTCGCTTCAATGTGAGCCGCGCGCGCGCGTTCTGGAAAAAAGCATCCAAGCTTCGAGAATGTCGCACTCTTTTCCCGCCCAGGTGCACCCGCTCGCCGCGCCGCACTACGTGAGCGGCCGGCCGTCGCTCTACCTGCACCTGGGCATGACGGGCGCCGTCCTCGAGGTCCCGGCCGAATCGACGGCGGCGGCGCCGCCGCCGCCGCCGGGGCCCTGGGCCTTCGCGGCCGCGGCGCCGCCGGACCCGCCGTCGACGGCCGAGGCCGGGCTGCGCCACGCGGTCGCGTGGCGCGAGGCGGACCTCGACGAATTCTGCCGCGCCTTCGACGGCCTCCTCGAGGGCGCCGCCTACGCCCACGCCTGGCGCGAGGGCGACGTCGTCGTCATCGACAACCTCGCCGTGGCCCACAAGGCGGCGCCCGGCGCGCACGACCCGTCGTCGGGCCTCCGCGTGTTGCACCGCACGACGGTCCTCGCGGCGCGCGCCCACGACCCGCCGGCGCACCTGAAGCTCCCGCACACGCTCGAGACCGGCGGGCCCTGCCCCTTCCCCGGCGCCGCGTGGGCCGAGGGCTACGTCGGCTTCCGCTGGGGCGACTACCGGGCGCGCGCCGTGCCCCACTAGCGTTACTACGCGCGACGCGGCGACGGCGCCCGCGTCCAGCGCCGCGGCGACGCGCCCGAAGTAGGCCGCGTCGTCGCTCCGCCCGAGCGCGGCGAGCGCGTCGGCGAGGCGCGTCCACGTCCGCGCGTAGGACGGCAGCGCCTCCGCCGCGCGCGCGGCGTCGCCTGTGTGCAAATCAACCAGTGAGCTGGGACGTCGGGGCCAAACTTGAGAATTCTCTAGCTCGGTCAAATCGAAGTCGATTCGGCTGATTTTGGACGAATCGATGCT